AAAAAGAGCACGTGGCGCTAGAAATTGAAATTACTGTTGGATTGAAGGAGCGCGTTGACGAGCGAGGAGAGGCCGAACCGCGCGAGGTCGGCAGGGATGGCAATGGCGGCGGCGGGAACTTTGAACGGCGCATCCAACTTCGTGACGAAGCGCACTTGGAGCCTCCTCGAGCTCCCTTCGCCACTCTCGTCGCCCATGCTCATCTTCGTTCTCCTTTACGCTCTTTCTTCTGCGAGGCGAAGGCGAAAACGAAGTGCGAGAGACGAAGACGCGAAGCGAAGAGGGAGAAGAGGCTAATAGCTTTTGGCCTAGTGGTAAGCGCTCGATCCAACAAGATCTTTTTATAAATATACATGGACAAATTGGATCAATTTTATATCCTTCTTGTAACAAGTATTCACTTAGTTGATTATAAGTATTATTACTGAAAGACACGAAGTTGCATATTAAAAATGCATTATATTTTTCTAAGTCTTACAGAAACTTATTGAGTTTCAAGGATATTCGTTTAAATGAGTTTCATATTGTAACAAACAATGAAGGAAATGTAGAATATCTTAATATCACGAAACTCCACTTGAATAAAAAGGAAGTATTGGAAAAATTATTTGCTTTTTCTTGTGGACGTATTGCACGTATATTAATACAGTTGAAACACATACTATTGTAAACCAGAAGTTTACAAATCAAAATAAATTTGAGGTTTGGCATGACCGGTTGGGTCACCCTAAGGCTATTATGATGCAAAAAATAATTAAAAATTCATGTGGACATTTATTGAAGAACCAGGAGATTCTTCAATCAAATATTTTCTCATGTACTCCTTGTTCCCAAGGGAAGTTAATAATCAGTTCATCAGCAGCAAAAATTGGGGATAAATCTATCTTATTTTTAGAACGGATACAAGGTGATATTTGTGGACCAATACACCTCTCATGTGGACCATTTAAATATTTTATGATTTTAATTGATGCATCAACAAGATGGTCACATGTTTGTTTATTATCAATTCGCAACCAGACGTTTGCGAGAGATTATTAGCTCAACTAATTAGATAAGAGCTCATTTTCCTGACTATCCAATTAAGAAAATTTGTTTGGATAATACTGGTGAATTCACATCTCATTCTTTTAATGAGTTAATTTTCCCAAGATTAGGGGGAGAACACAAATAGCTAGAAAAAGATATTAGTTGAAATGAATTATCACTATCTCATTTTGATCCTCGTATAAAACAATGTGAACTAGAAGTTTAAAAGATAATTTATTTGCAAAATCTAGCCAACCAATTACTAAATGTATTCACAAATCCAAAAAGGGTGACTAAGTCATATGTACCGACGGCTAATGCTCCAATAAGAGTCGAAGTCCCTGTTGGACAATTTAATACTACAAACGAGTCACAAATACGCCTGAAGCATGGTAGACCAATTGGTTCCAAGGATAAGAATCCTCGAATAAAAAAAGGAGCTAAAGAGCAAAATGGCCAAATTGAGGATGTAAAAACTCAAAAAGATTCCTCTGACATAACTAATATTTCAGTTCAAGAAGAAACTCAGGTACATGAAATTATTAAAAATGAAGAGATCTCAATAAATTATGTCATGAATGGAATATGATGAAATCGAAACATTGTCAATATTGATGACGTATTTGCATATAATATAGCGCTAAATATAATAAATGATATTGAGGATCAAGTACTAAAGTTCATCAATGATTGTCGACAAAGAAATGATTGACCAAAATAGAAAGAGGCAATTGAGACAGAATTAGACTCGTTTGCTAAGCGAAAAGTTTTTGGACTAGTACTACGTACACCAAAAGGTGTAAAATCAATTGGATACAAATGAGTTTTGTGCAAAAACGAAATGAAAATGGTGAAATTGTGAGATACAAAGCAAGACTAGTTGCTCAAGGTTTTTCACAAAGACCCGGTATTGATTTTGAAGAGACATATTCACCTGTAGTGGATGCAAACACTTTTCGATATTTAATTAGTTTGGTTGTACATGAAAAACTTAATTTACATCTAATGGATGTAGTTACAACATATTTTTATTGCTCTCTTGATGCTGACATTTATATGAACTCCTAGAAGGATTTAATTTGCTTGACGATGCAATTTCTAGAGAAAATTATTCGATCAAATTGAATAAGTCCCAATATGGCAATAAGGTCGTATGTGGTATAATCGACTAAGTGAATACTTGTTTATGTCTTTCGTTATAAAAAAAATGAATCTTTCTCATTATACTTATTAAAAAAAAATATTTAATAAAAATATATTTATGTCATTGCTAGGTTGACTTTAAGGAGATAAAAAAATAATGCTAAAAATTAGGGAAATTATTCTCCTTATAAATGTTGTATTGAAAAATTAAGGAAATAAACATTGGTCATAAATTCATTAAATTCTATATTTTTGTACAAATCACATCAATAGGATTTGAAACCAAACGTAACACATGAGTTCAATTACATGACAAGTTGCTTATTTCAATCAATGTAATTATGAACAAAATCAAATTACAAATGTAGGAAAACTCGTAATCTTTTCAAGAAATCACACAAAACCTAAATAGGCTTGAGGACATGCTTTGCTAGTCATAATTTTTTTAAGTGCTTCAAATATCATTCAACATTATAATTATGACATTTACAAAATTATTCCACTTCCGGTGATGACCTCATTTATATCAAAGTATCAAATACAATATAATATATTTATATCAAATAAATTTCACAATCATAAAAATACAAATATTCTATCAAATTCATAATATGAAAAACATGATTGCATAATAATCTCAAAATATATTACGTCAATGAAATATTGATATTTCTCACTTCTGGCGAGAAAAAAATAATAAATTAAAAGAGATTGAATATTCTTTTTTGATAGTATCTTCTAGATGCATTTCAAGAATGTATAATTTTTTTTATTTAATAGTGTCTTCAGGATTATTATAGTGTCTTCAAGACTACTTTAATACATAACAATGTAAACAATACAAATATTTGATAAAATTCTTATTGTGGAAGATAAATAACTAACCTTGAAATATTTGTTTTGAAAAATATGGATTTTCTTCATGAAAATTCTTCATAGCTTTGTCTTACGGTTGCAACACCAATAGCGGAAAGATTATCGTGTTGATAACGTGTTATAAAAGAAAGAAAAATAAAGAGAACAAATAAAATAATATGAGATGGAGAAAAGAATCTAACTAGTGTATTATCTTTGGGAGATGACTAACCTATTTATAAGTACATGTGATAACGGAACAATTATACAATAAAGGGAATAATACATAACAGAAATATAAATGATAATGATTGATAATGAATATTGACATCCACTAATTAAACCACTAATTATTATTCATAACAATATATATACACACATTAACATTTATTTGTTTAAATATTAATAAAAGTTTCTCATTAACGTTTTGATGTTAGTCATGCTATGGGTCTATTTGTTTAAACATTTTTTTTTCTAAAAAAGAATATTTTTAATAAAATAAAGTTTCGTTTACATGTTTATCTAAATAGTTTTCTGCTCTTTTTAAAAAATAATCCTATCTATTTTTTATAAAATTAATTTTTGAAAAGTACTTCTTTTTAGAATAAAAAAACATTTTTTTAATCATAAACAAAGTGACCCAATCGCTTAATAAAAAATCGTTTTGTATATATAACAGTGACACAGCCAGCAAAATGAACAGATCAAGCAAATTATTCTGGGATGTATAAAATACACGGTCACACTCACACACACACACGTTCTCTGATGACATACATAATTTCTCGAAAGTGTTGGAAACCAAAAGAGAGATACAAATGATGATGTCGATATCAATATGCACATACAGCACATACACATAATTAATAATTTCCATGCAAGTTATATATATATCCATAACATAATAAGCACCAAGTTATGGCGCTGAGGAGTGATATATATATAGTCTGTGGTGACAGATAATTAAAGATGATTTTCAAACAGGCACAAATTTGGACATCTGTTTTGAACCGTATATATGATATGCATATGAGAAGACCCTACACCTAGACCCTTATTATAATTTTATAAGCTATGCTATCTCTCTCCAATAATGCACATGATCTTTGGCAGCCAATTTTAACCTTTTGGAGGGATTCACAAATGCATGGTGCTCCTGGAGCCCGCAACTGGATCATATCATATATATGCCAGCAAACGCATCATAATAAAACGATAGGCCACGATAACATAAATATGAACCTATTTCAAATTATGCCACCAATTAATTAATGCTCATATTTTATACATGTGTATTGTGTGTATTTATCAACGTACGATATATATATACACAAGACCGCGTTGGATGGATAATAGACACATATAGCAGAAGGTTCATGGAATTTACTCTCTTCGTTCACTAAAGTACGGGTTTCCTTCATTAATATTTTTGACATCACTAGACTTTTCCGCAGATCAATTCCACTCAAGTAACATCATATATCCTTGTCTGCATACTTTGAATGCCTGCATCGCTGCTAATAACAATGTGACAAGTACCCTTCATCATATCTTATAATTCGAGTCTTTGACCCGCTTCTTCATGGAAGACAATACCAAAGTATATATATATATATATATATATAGTCCGACAAGGACTATAATTTAAGAAAACAGTGAGTGGAATAATACGAGAGGGATATGTTTATTATATGAAAGTGAAAATGTTATGTACTAGAGTAATAGTCCAAATAATTTATGTATATTATACAGGTGAATATAATGTTTACTTTATAAATTAGTATTGTAAGTTTGAGTTAATCTCAAACATCACATTCTTAAAGTAATATTGGAGTTATCTTAGTAATTATGGTTCAGCCACATACAGATTTTTAATCATCAAAATTCTCACCCTATAAACTTAATTATAAACTGAGATATTAAATGAGAATTATCAATATTATTTATTATTCTTATTTCTTTAGTTTAGGATAAAAGACTTGTGAATGGACAGATGAAAAGATGAGGATCACAAAAAAAAGAAAATAAAATTAGCTTCACTCATTAATCAGCAATAATCGTCATTCAAACTTCTGCTGATGAAAACTGATACATCAACAAGAAAAACAAAGATATGCGGATGGGAGGGGGGGATCATCTCATCTCATCATCTCAATTCTCAAATCTTTTGCTACAAATTTCCTGTTATCAACACCTTTCTATTCTTTTCTATCTTGTTTCAACGAGAGAAATTAACAGCTCAAAAAATTCAACGTTAAAAAAAATGAGAATTTACAGCTCACATGTGCTGGAAAACATCAAAATTTGCTCCCACCGTTAGATCCTCCGACAGTGACGTCATTAACGGATAGCTAGTGAAATCTATTGAATTCTGAGCCAGAATCTGCGCTTCTTCTTGCCACGAACTTGCCTTGAACTCTTCAGATTTTACGACATTGACTTCAAATTGTAACAAAGGATCAACCTTATTACTCTCACCATCCCACGAGAACCCCATCATTTGACACCCCGGATAAACACTCATGCTTGAGTTATTTCTGGTTATACCACTGGTCGATGTTGGATCTCCGACAGAGTCCGTCACCGACACGTTCCCATGATCAGAACCATTCAGACACGGCATTGACGAGAATCCGTAGCTAGAATCGGTTCCCACCTGGTTCTGATCAAATTGTCTCATTGGGTGGCAATGACTCACACTTGAGTTATAACTATAATTACCCATTTGGAATTCAAAGTAGGACAAAGGGTCCAATGCAGAAGGCTTGTTCACGTAAACTTCCCTTGAAGCTTCTGTTACCGCTAGTGCTACTCCATCATCATAGTAACTATTAGAATTGTTCACTAGAAGTGGTGACTCTAAAACCCCTTGAGAGACCGGTAGTAGCATAGGTGCTGTCTCTGTGGCTGTGGTTTCCTTCTCTTCCTTTATCATGCGATCTTCAACATTGAGGAGTGGCTTGTGTGTAGCAGGGTCAATCCCTTGCTTCATTAGCTTCTTCTTCAAACATGAATTCCAAAAGTTCTTAATCTCATTATCTGTCCTCCCCGGTAATTGAGCTGCAATTTGAGCCCACCTGACATTGCAAAATAAGTACCATTTCAAAAACCTCTTCTAACCATTATTATAACTTTATACCACATATTAATATATTAATTAATATCATTCAATTCAATGCATTTGAACAACAGATGTCAACCTGATGAAGTTAAAGTTGTTAGAGTCGTATTTACAAAATTTAAATTTTGTTGTCTTCGTATTGTAATCTGATAAAAAAAAATCAATTCAATGCATTTAATTTTATACTTACCTATTTCCTAGAACTTCATGGAGACTAATTATAAGATCCTCCTCCTGCTGAGAGAACATTCCTCTCTTCAAATCAGGCCTCAAGTAGTTTATCCATCTCAATCTGCAACTCTTTCCACACCTTTGCAGACCTGCAATATTCATAAAGTGAGTGTTTTTTTGTTGTTTGGTTCAATGATGAGAAGATCAAAATGGGGATTTAGCTAAGTAGTGACAATTAATTAATTGATTAATTAATTACCAGCTTGTTTGGGAACGGAACTCCAGCAGCCAACACCAAATCTGGTAATGTAATTGAAAAGCTTCTCATCTTCTTCGGGGGACCATAAACCTTTCCTTAGTTTTTGCTTTAAACAACAGGAATGGCGACCCATGTGTGGGAGGGAAAAGGACACAAAAGGACAGGGTTTTCTTAATTATGGAGAAAGGGTCTGTGAACTGTGAACTATGAAGTAGTCACTGGGGCTATATAGTGAGACATTGCCCGTGTGCGTGTGTCAGTGAAACGTTTCAGGGGGTGGAAATGTGTCAGTGTTGTTGTTATGTGGAGAGGGTAAAACTAGGGAACTAATTGTGTTCATTTAAAGAGAAGAGGGTGTAAATCATACTTAGGATTCAAGTTATGAGATAGAGAGAGAGAAGCATGAGGAGGAGGAGGAAGGTGAAGCAATCAAGTGGGATTTACGCAAATCCGCTGCTGCTTTTTGCACTGTATTGGATTGATTTTTAAGACATCCCTATTTCTAGAAAAAAAATTAATAAATTAAACTATCATAAAGTATAACAACTTTATAATATATGCTCCCAAAATATTGGCCTAGTTGACAACAATGACAAGGATTAAACTTTTAAGACTTGTATTTTAAAAGAGGCCACTGTTTTTTTGTTTCTTCGATTTTATAAAAGATAAAGTAATATTTCTTTAATCATCATTTTATATTGAAGAGGGAGATCGCATTTCGATCTTTGATTAAGAAAGTGTGTATGCTAACAACTTTGATATAATTAAAGAAATGAGTCTAAATATAATTAGTCATATGTGAAATTTTGATTAATAGATAGTTTGTGCAGAGAAATATTAATAACATATTATCTAACTAAGATTTATGAATATACATCTCGTTTATTAGTTAATATTTCTTTTATTAGTTTGTGCAGAGAAATATTAATAAAAGAGATGTATATTGATAAATCTTAGTTAGATAATATATTATTAATATTTCTTTGCATAAACTATTTACACTACTATAATTTTTTTTTATTACATGTGACTTTTCTTGCAAATTTTTTATAAAAATCCGCAGGAAACGTTGTACTTGCAAATTTTCTATGAAATTTTATTTGTAGGTAATACTTTCGTGAATAATATATTTTTGCGAATTTTAAAATTTGCAAGAAATTTTCCTGCGAAATTTCTTGGTAAAAAAATTTACAGGAAAGTTTCTTGCGAAAAAAAAATTCGCAGGAAAGTTTTCTACAAATTTTTTCACAAGAAATTTTGCAGGAATATCTTTTACGAAAAAAATTAAAAAAATTATTATAAATTCTATCAATAATTTTTCAACTTTCAAATGCTCACAATGAATTCATCTAAAGTATTTGTTTCCATGCCTCCAACATGTGATACATAATCTTTTAAATTCTAAGATTGTAGATTATAAACCTAACACTCAATCATACAAATCAACTTGTAAGGTAAGTGTTGCCCCAACTTATATACTCTTTAATTGCTTTATTTTCAATCGATGTGGGACTTGAAGTTTTTTTAAAATATTAAACTTATAAATTTAAAAAAAAAATTTATTTTTTCTGCGGATTAAAATTTCCAGGAAAATCCGCAGGAAAAGTTACCTACAAAATTTTTCTACCATTTAGTAAACATTACTTGCGAATTTATTTTTGCAAGAAAATCTACAAGAAACAAAATAAAATTATTACAATATTTTCTACAAATTTTTACTATAGAAAAAAATTTCTATGATTATTAAAATTGTAGCAAAATTTGTAAGAAATATCTATAACTTATTTTTTGCAAATAAATTCGCAAAAAATTTCTGCGAATATTTTTTTGCAGGAAAATTCGCAAAAAGTTTCTGCAAATATTTTTTTGCAAGAAAATTCACAAAAAATTTCTGCGAATATTCTTTTGTAGAAAAATTCACAAGAAAATAACACTTTTCTAGTAGTGTTAATATCTCCCGTATGTTAATATCTTTGTAAATATATTTGATTCTTGTGCTACATCTTATGAGTATTTTCAAATTCTAATTCACCTTTATTTTGTTAATAATAAAAAAAAACTTTATAATATAAGCATATCACTATAGTTAATATCTTTAATGATATTTGTCTACTTAAATTTATTAAAATATTATTATAGATTAAGTTAATAGGTTATTATAATATATCTTTTTAAATATTACTATAAATAAAGTAATATTTTTTTATCTTAATATTATTCTTTATTAGTGTTTCTTAAAATTAAGTCTTATATTAAATAAAAGAATAAAATATAAAGATTATATTATTTTTAATCTCTAATTATTTTTTAAAATCAAAGTTTCATATAAAGTAAAAGGTATAAAATCAAATGATAAATAACTTAAGATGTCTTCAATGTTAAAAAAACAAAAGTGATGCATAATTAATGGTACAATTTATATTAAGACTGATTGTTTTATAAAGTTTATAAAAAAAATTTAAAAATATTTTTAAAATGTCATCATTAATATATAAAAATACTATTAAAAACTTTTAATAACATAATTTTATCTTATATTTGATAAAATGTTATAAAAATATATTAGTAATATTTATTAATAATACACTTAAAGGGCGTTTGTTTTAATGTAAACTATTTTCACGGATTTCAATACAAAATATGCTTTACGAAATAAGTCTTCTCAATGTAAAAGTTGTTTTGCCATAAAGTCAAATTCCGTTGGACCATAAAGCAGACATCATTTAGTAAACCACGATTTTCGTATGTTAATATTACAGTATTATTGTTCTTTTAGCTGTGATTAGTTTAGAAGAAAAAAAGACAATATTAATCCTGAATCATAACCTAGCATAATTGAACTTTTGAGTTAGCCTCTAAGATGATGAGCTAATCCCATTATATCATAATAACATAACACGAATGAAATAAATAAATAAATGCCCGTAATTTGAGGGTAATTTATTTTAAGCAATATGTTATTTATTAGTTTTTCTACTCAAGTTATTTATTATCTTCCAAAATTATTAATGTCAATTTTTTTATTTTAAAACTATAAATGTTTTAGAAATTTCATTCCATTTAATTATTACTAATTTTACATATGTTCCTAATTAAATAACTATATTCGATTTTTTTTGTGTCGAAATAATTAACTATATTTGATTACAGCAACATATATAAAAAAAACACTTTAACAAACAACAAATAATTATTTGTTAGGTGAGCGACTGCTTATGGCCTTATTTTCTTTAATTTTTCTTATCTTATATTTCTATTATTGCTAATAAATAAGAATAGTCTTAAAATTTATCTTTATATATATATAAGGGATCTGTTTACTAGGAGTAAGTCTATATAGACTTACTCTATTCAATAATTCACGTTCTACATCAAATTTTAACGATTTAACCGTTAAATTTTAAGTTCTCAATGCATAGATCAAATCTGTAAATTTTAAAAAAATTTGAAAATAATTTAATACTTTGTTTCATTAATTCAAATCAATGTATAAAATGATTTTATGATTATCCGTCAATTTGAATTAATGAAATGAAGTATCAAATAATTTTAATTTTTTTAAAAAATTTACAAACTTGATTTATGCATTAAGAACTTTAATTTCAACGGTTGACTCGTTGAAATTTGATGTAGAACATGAGTTATTGAACGGAGTAAGTCTAGGTAGACTTACTCCTAGGGTAAACGAATCCCTCCTTAAATATATAATCTCTTGATTGTTTTCCTATTCTCTTAATTATGATCTCTTATGCTTCGTTGGAATCTTAAAATCAAATTGAAAACCTCTATTTTTATTAGCCACTACAAATTTCTTAGTGACGTACAATATCTCAACCAATAACATAGGATACAATTTGAATATAGCTCAATGCAACTTATTCAACTTTAGCACATTCAACACAACAACATATACAAATATATAACAAATGTGTTGTCACGCATATCAATAATGAAGATTTCCTACAACAAAGGTAAACAATTTAAGTTGTTAGACCCAACCAAATCACAATGTGTAACCTATCTCAATCAGGTTATCTAACAACTTAATTTAATTTTTCATGTTTGTTACTTAAACTAGGAAGTCTAGTATTACTGTCAGGATAGAAAAGTTTGGGTATGAATCTATCACAACATTAGCTTGTATCACTACATCACCTATGAGATTAACCCACCAATTATCATCCAAGTACTATGTCCCTCCAATACTCAGTTAGGGGCTAGGACTAAGTCATCAATTTCATATTTTACTCAGTTGGTCGCTTTATACACATATGTCCCAACCTTACCCACATACAAATACCACATAAAACCTAGATGAGACAACACAACAACTCACCACTCAAAAGTCAACTTACATACTGAAGGTTTTTCAACACTTGGTCTCTCAAAGGATATTAATTTTTGAAAGCAACACTTACTCTCCTTTAATTTTTATGTATGTTAGCTAAGACATGTATCATTATCACATGCCAAGCTACTTAACAACTTAACAAGTTGAGCAACTTAAACATCATACAACCTCACAACTCATTCAACTATAGCATCTCACAACTTGTACAACATGAATATCATCACATAATGTATCAACTCACAACATAGATTCATCATCATACATCATCATCCATAAAACTTATTCGTCATCATTCAACTATTAAAATAACTTAAAAAAACAACTTTTATCATGTAACTCGCGCTCGGTGTCACTCACAGGATGCCTAGTGCCATTGGGGTAGAGGGCTCCTTGTCTCGTTAACACTCGACGCCAAACTACTTGTGTCTGGCGTGGTTGAGAAAGAAGGTTTCCCACTCTCTTGTGCCTAGCATGGTAAAACCCACGCCCGATCTCAATTAGGTAGATGGCCTCTGGCTGACTCATGCTTGGCACCACTCCATTAGTGCCAATACGGATCCAAGTAGAAACAAGTCTCTCTCCTTATATTGGGTGTCATTCAACCCACGTCTGGTGTGATTCCAACTCGAGACGATTCTCTCTCTTCATGCCTGGTGCCACTAATCATGCACTCAACATGAGCAAGATTGAGACCCCTCTTTGAAGTCACGTCCAACGCAATATTAATTTTTGTACTTATGCAAAAACTAATTTTCCCCGAATCCACCTGAAATCCAATTGATCCAAAGCCAACATGCAACATAATATGCAACACATATACACTGTAAGGAACTCATTTCCATCAACAAAACAACATTCATTTATCAAGGATCAAAAATCATCACATTCAACTCATGAGCAACTTCAAGAATATCCAAAAATTCCAACCATTCATTAATTCATCTTTTCCAATTCATAGAAATCAACCATTAGATGAAATTCAACAGCAAATGAACATGCAATCTAAACAAATATCAAAAAGTTTTTCTTACCTCTTGTTGATTCAAAATAAGAAGAGAAGAATGAAACTGCACAACTATGACCGGAAACTTCAACTCCAAAAGTTTTGAATCATTAATA